CCGGGGTGTGCCAGTGCATCCGGTGATTTATATTAGTGACGATCCAATTGTCCAAAGCTCCTAATTTCCAGACCCTGTGCTCGGACCACATGGATGAATTAGCCCGAACCCGGCTCGGTGATCTGATCGCTCCAGGTAGTCGCTCCTGTTTTATGGAGAAACCATTACTGAAAAGGTTTATTTCATTTACACAGGAATATCGAGGCTAATCTGCGTCAGTCATCATATACGTCACAACAGAAGTCATCTTCCACTAAATGTAGATAGCCTATTAATGAAAGCACTTGTAATTGTTTTTTTTCCCATGAGTCGATCAGGAGGATAAAACATTGCTAAGGCGCAGCGGGAACCATGTCTGCCATAAGATCAATTATGTAGAACAAATCATTTAAATGGTGAGTTGTTTTACAGAGCAACATGTTTACTGTAGGAGACACGAGTAAGAGTTTGGAGCTTTGAACCTGTGTTTTATCTTGGTTTTGTGCAATAGACCAACATTAAGCAGCACATATTAGAGAAGTGGAACAATTATTCATGCAAACCATAAATCTGGTCAACAAAGAAGAAAAATGAAAGAAGAAATAAAGAAAATGAAAGAGTGGCAAGAAGAAAGAAATCCATTTTCAGGGTAAGCCACATGGAGGACAACTGGAAACTGGAAGGCGTTCTGACCAAAATCCAGCCGAAAATGTAACACCTTGTTCACCACAGACAGGGCAGCCGGTAAGGGCTAATGGAGGATATATATGCTGGTCAATCACGGAGGAAAACAAAAGACTAAACAGAGGTGTGGAGGTTCGCCCTCCAACAGGATAACAACTCAAAGCACACAGCCAGAGCTACATCAGGATATTTAAGATGTGCTAAAATAGCTCAAAGTCCAGACCTCTTTTAGCTTGCAGCAGGATGTAGCATTTAATGTCGGTAAAGCTCTCCACCTTTTCTGCCTGAGCTTGTCGCATTCTGCAGAGAAGAGTGAGACTTCGGTTTCTGTATGTGCGATAGACATGCCCACCAAAGGCTTGCAGTGAATGCTTCCTCTATAAAACGTCTGATGACTCAGGGTGGGCTAATGCACGACACCTTTCTGGTTTTGGAATATATTAGCTTTTGAAAACCTTCTTTTCATTTCGCTGGTTTATCAAATGAAATCTCAGTGAAGATCTTATGGTTATGGTGAGAGTCCAAGGGGTGTCAGTACCTTTTGCTTTATGCTAATTCTGACTTTTCATCTACATTTTCAGTGAAGTAATCCACCCACAGGTGTTAGATCTCATAGTTTATCGTTTTTATTCAGCTTTAAGTTAAAATTTTTAGTTAAGTTGTGCTGCTGCTGTTTCCAGGTAGATAAATCAGCTGTTTAATAATCAGGTGCTTTATTTTGCTCAGTATATTTGCACCAGACGAAGCTGACTTCCTAAGGTGGAGGTACTCTACCGAGACGCACACCTACAGCCCTGGCCTGCAGAAGCTGCAACGTGGCGTCATTTCAAACAGGAAACGAACCTGCTATCACAGAAACCATCAAGTTTCCCACGTCTTACAAAAGACAAAGTGAGAATAGATGTGTGACCTGATTTCCTCCCCTTTTTCCATTTGATCTTCAGAAGAAAATTAGACCTGAATACTTCTCAAACTAAACAATTATCTAATTCTGATGATATATTGCAGTCTTTACAAGACGACGAATGTGCTTACCTTATTTCCAAAGATCTTTGAGATCTTTCAACGTGAGTTAAGGAGGGAATGTAGTTATTCTTAATAAAATTTAAAAGCAAAAATAAATTATAGCAACGCACAGTAAGCTTACACAGAGCGAAAATGAAAAAAAGGAGCTCTTTTTGTGCAACGTCAAATGATCAACTTGATATGAAAATCCTCAACCTTCACTCGTTTCATTACGCAAAATCAACAAAACTTGTTTAAAGGTAGAGTTCAGTTTTATATTTATTTGATTCAAAAATACTTTATTAATCCCAAAGGGAAATGAAATGTTGTTGTGGCTCCTTAATTCACATTCTTCAAAGAGTTATTGAAGATGTTGGTGATTGTTGGCAGGAAAGACTGTTGTAGCAGTCTGTGATACAGCGAATCTGAAGAAGCCTCTGACTGAAGCCTCTGTTTTCTCAAGACAGTCTCGTGGAAAGGTTGTCCATAACTTTCTTGACTTTGCGTAATCATCTCCAGAGGTTCCATAGTCGTCCAAAGAACTATCAAGAACCTTGAAGGATCTAAGCTTCCTCAAGAAGTCCAATCTCCTCTTATAGACGGCTTCACTGCTGCCTCACCAGTCTGTTGTCCAGGTGAATACAGAGGTATTTTTATTCTTCAACCACCTCCACTTCTTCTTTCTCTCATGACGGAAATAGGATTTGATCCAACTCTGTTCCTCCTGAAATCAACAATCATCTCCTTTGTTCACAATGAGACGATTGTTCGCCTTACCGTCACTATGACTTAGAGTGCTTTAGATAAGATGCCAGAGAAAGTGCTGGACTGACCTGCATTGTGACAAGATAATCAGCTGTCTACGCTATGTGATATAAGATTGAGATGCCTTTTCACTCCTCTAGATGTTGGGAAAATGAGTAGACAAGAAAGCGGGAAAGGTTAATTCTTGCTATTATTAAGCTGTTTCGTTGCATGTTGTTACATTTAGATGAATGGTTTATTCTACTGGACTGTTCTGATATCAAACCTCCTGACCTACTATAGCAAAAAGTGCTAAAGCCGCCTACTCTTCTTCTTCTTTTCCAGTGAGTTAGCCAGAAATGTCAGCACATTTGTCAGTCATATCACAGCTATTGAACATTTAGCCCCAAGGCAAAGTGCTGCTTGAAAAAGAAACCTTCAAACCTTGGCATCCACAGAGGAGTCAGAAGCTGCGAAGGCCTCTCAGTATGACTCAGAGGAAGCGCTTGCCTGGTCAGCATGATACTTCACAGCAGGACAATATGGGGGCTGCAGCCAATACAGTCACACCACCAGATAAAAACAACAGGATTTTATTACTTCCTGCGACTGCTTCTGTCGCTTCCAATGCATTCAGTGTGGTACAACACTATGAATCAACAGTGGACAATAAAATGAATCAATCAATCAGGACTGTGTAGTGGTAGTAGAGTCTTTGCTTGATTGTGGGCTTAGTTATTTGGAAGTCTGTTCTGTGGTAATACACAGCCAAACCGCACTCACAACCACTGTCATTTGAGTGAAGCAACAGTCGTCTGATTGCAACAGCAGGAAAAAGTCACACTTCGACTTCTCCTCAGTTACGTGTGAAACACGTAACATGTGAAAAGCATGTTTTATTTTATGTGGGGAACATTTTCCCACATGCGTTTCACATGGCGCGACCCAGTATAATTTCCTCGTATGAAACAAGGCAGAAGATGTTTCACATGTGGGACATGTAGTTTCATCATGTGCAGCACATGCAGAAAGGTGAAAAGGCTTTGCTTCCTCAAGCACACAGCAAATCAAGGTGTGCTCTGATTGCTTGATCTCATATGTGACTGTCAGATGTGTTGTTTTCCACAAGAAAACTCACTTTTTAAAGACTCCAGATCCCAAAGTAAAAAAAAAAAAAAAAAAATCTCATCCAGCATTTCTAAGTGAGTCAGAATAGGAAGGATTGAAAACGTTTCCTGACAGCGATCAAAATTCACGGAAGAGCCGAAACCTTTTCAGTCGCTGTGTGCTGCGGGTTTGTAACATGAGAACTATTTGTAGCTATTGTAGATGAAGTAGATTTTATTTATTTTAGTGAATTAACTTACTGTACTTCAGATGAATGCCTAATGAGAAGTTTGTAAGGGTTAAAGTCTCATGACTCAAAGGTTTGCTTTTACTGGAGACCCTCACCCACATCTGTTGTTCTGTGTTTTAAGTTTGACAGAGCAAAAGCAAACTGTCCTTTTCTAACTAAGCTTGAATCAGCTCATTACTAAATCCTGTAATGAGTAAAGAGGTTGAATGTCTCACATAATTTGGGGAAAAAAATGAGAAGGTTCAAGACATCTAAGACTAAGTGAGACATTTTCCACACATTTTCTCTGTTTTGGTCACGATCTTTCTTCTTTCTTGTGTTTGATCTCGAGTTCCAGTTATGGGTTTTGCCATCGTCCTTCTGTGTCATTATGTAAATTCACAGCAAATATCTTGAGGTTGGTAAGAAAACATTTATAAATCAGGACTTGGGAAAAAAAAATCTTTTACACTCAAAATTCACCTTTTTTTCCCCCATTGTGGAGACTGATTTGATGGTACACCAGATTAGCCAGAAGGTCAGTGACCTACAACCTGCGCACTGAACAGTGGGAGGGAAAGGAGTCATGCAGAGAGGAAGTGCATATGCAAATATCACTGTTTTTTTTTTTTTTTTTTTTCAAAAAAAGAAAAAAAGATGGCATAAAAACAACTTTCTAAAGTTACTACACATATTTCATGTAAATTCTAGATATCTACAGATTTAAATTTCCACTTTGTACATTTCAATAACAATAATTTCTCCGGTGGTCAGGATGCAACTGCTGAACCTGCAGAAACCAGAAATGTTTAGGAAGATGGACGGGTGGAAGACTTTATGAGTATAACTTCAGACCCAAGAGGAAATGAAGTCTGCAAAGAAAAATATTTTCTTTCATACTTTATGGAAGCAGTGGTGCAAACAGACCGAGTGTAAACAGCATCAAAAGTGTTGCACGATAAAGAAAGACACACAGATTTGATTTTTCCATTTATTATCAAGAGGAGTTTAAGTACTGAAGGATATAAACACAAACTGCAAGGGAGATTATCGTAATAAAATGTTTACATTAATAGCACCCAAATAAACTAAAGCTAACATCATAAAATCTTTCTTTACGTTGATGACTGTGTTTTTGTTTAACGGTTTCATATTTAACAGAACTACTGATTTCAAGCCAAATTAGATTTAATGTTAATATAATAATATCTATTAGACGTTGATGGCTATAATCCAATATGCAGAATAAATATTGATAGGATGCCTCACTCAAATCTCATCAATAAAAAAATAAAAAGACAGAAAACCACGTAATTATGCAACACAATAAGTCAAAAATGAGTGCAAAGTAAAAAACCAACTTATTGAGGAAAACAGCAGTAAAATCTCTTCAATACTTAAGAGGTAAAACATTTCGAGGTATGATGGTTCACATATGCATTTCTGTAGTTTAGACTGAAATATGTAAACAACCAGGCGTGATGCATCTTTAGCTACGTTCCAGTTTCTTAAAATTCATAAACAAATTCGTAGAAGAGTTGATGTCTGTGAGACGGCGAAGGCACAGAGAAGCACACACGTTCAGGTTTACTTCAGCAACTATTTGGCGCAACATTTAATCGACGATTCGTCCTTAATGATGTTGACTGAATGTTATTGAACCTTGTCTGACTCTATGAATGCTATCTTCCCATCATAAACAATTTTTCTCACTGCATCAGAGAGAATAAATCAAACATTTCACCTTTTCAGTCTTTTTAAAATCTCCCTTTCTTTAGATAAACATTAAAATGTTTGATTAAAAAAAATGTGTTGAAACAAGTTTACAAAAAATAATCACCTTTACTTTTAAATCCACAGTTTGTCTAAAATGACATATTAACAAGAAAACCATTACTGACAAAACAACAATTATCTACTGCATAAAACATAATTACACATAAGAGAAAAACAATCACAAATGATTGAAATATATGCAACTTCTTCTAAATATAATACATACATGGTGGCATTTCTTCTGTTTCTGTAATGTAATTTGTTGAAAGAAGTTTGCTATAAATGAAGAACAACAAAAGCAAATCTAATACGATTCACCCTTTTGCACACACAGCACACTCACATGTATTTACACACCAGTAAAGCACAAAGAGGGAATCTATCATCTATAATTATGAAATAAACAATAAATACCTTCATTCAGAATGTATCAATGCTGGGTTAATTTCAGATATCATGTTTTATAACGTTCCACTGGAAAATAAGATGTTTTTTAAATTTTCATCTGGAGTACTGGAAGCATTTTACGTTAAAGACGCCACTAAAAAGTTCTGATGTTTGCAACCAGCTTAGTTTCCATCCATGAAGGTTGGTTGATTGGCTGCAGCGGGTCCTCAAAAACCAAAACCATTAAGCTAATCATCAACTCCACCTGACTCCTCTTCCTCACTCATAATACTCCGTTGCCCTGTTCTGTACCTGCCTTGCATTTCAGCGGCTTACATCGCCTAGTTTTGATTAAATAACGCTAAACCTTTGACTTTATTTGCATCTATTAGTGTAAAATACATACTCTGCAGCTCTGAGCCAATAATAATGTTACCTAATCATTATCTGACATGATGTGCAGAAGCTCTGTCTGCGCTGGTGAAGATTTGCTATTCGGTGTACCAAACACTGGAAGTGGCGCCAGCTAGAGGAGGCTCTGACTTATTTCTTTTTGAGTATTTCTGCTTATTTGACCACTCAGGAACAATTTATGGACAGCGAATCAGACTTTCATCTCTAGATGGTCAGGGCGTTATCAGGCACTGAAGAAAAAGAACAAGACAGTGAAATCTCAGCAAAGGCAACATACTCTGTGCTTATGCAGCAGCACACTAATATTTACATCCTTCATCTGGATGGAAGAATAAGAAACAGTGTGACAGCAGCTTGAGGGAGGAGATTATGGATTCAGAAACATTTCACTTTAATATTGTGTCTGGGCAGAATGATGTTGGGTTACATCTTCCCAACTGGCACAGAAAAGATCGTAAAGGTGTCCAGCTTAACTCCATTTCTTTCGTGTTGTTATTTAAAAATTTTATTACATTGATATTCTGGTGATTTCCCCCACTTTTACCATTGTGCTAAAACTTCTTACACATACTTTACACACATCTGGGTCCTTAACCTTTAAAGATTTATAGCTAAATTTCACCATCATCTAGTGGTCAATAAACAGTTTTTATGTAACTTTAAATTTTGAACTTTTGTGCTAAACAGATCACTCTAAACCTCACTGTGGTGGTCAGAATGAAAAGTCTTCAGTTTTTTGTATGTTACAGTAAAACAAAAACTATATATGTTTTCAATTTTAACAAAAAAATGTACACAAGTCTTATTTACTGGCTTATGCAGCAATGTCATCTTAACAGTTCAACATCTCATTTCATAATGGCTTTAATCTCTAAGACAGGATGCTAATTATACAGCTTTAGTCTTAAATATGATACAGTAGAGGCAGGCCTTTCTTTACAATGTTATGTAGAGAAGAACGATTTCTATATTTACACATTTCCCTTGCATGCTACCGTCCAAGGTGGCACTAATTCCTCCTCTTTATCTTCCACTGACGAATCCTAACCAGACACCCAGCTGTGCGAGGTGCTCTTCACTCTCTGGGGAAATCCAGCTGCAGGGTCGAAATTAAAGTCTAGTGCCCCGCCGTCCATCAGGGTGTCATGGAGGACCGACTCCAGGTCACATTCCAGCCTCTCGATGGGCATGTTGTCCAGGTCGCTGGGTAGCCGCTCCTGATGATGGCTGTGAGGGTGAACCAAGTTCAGTTCCTTGTAGCTGTTGGTGTAGTTCGCTGGAAAGTTGTTAGTGTGTGCAAGATGTCCTTGCGGAGGCTGCATGCAAGTTCTCAGCCTGTTCAGTCGTTGCGGAGCCCCTGAGACAGTAGTCAGGCTAGCCAAGGGTATCATGTTGCAACTATTCAAGTCTCTTGAGGGAGCAGGACCTTGGCTATGTATAGATTGTGGGTTTACGTGTAGACCTGGGTGACTCTGAGGAGGGGTAATTATTTTAATACCAGGATGACTCGCTATATGGTTGTGACTGCTGTAAGCGGACATGACACTACTTACCCTCCCAGTGTCAGACACCCGTCTGTCACTGGGAGGCATAATGTCTCTACTGGAGCCTGCGTCAGCGGTCAGTAGCTCTTTGAGGAGTCCTGCTGGAGAGATGTACTGGTTCTCATAACCTCCAAAGCCAGGCTTGTTCTCCGGAAGTGTCTGCATGGGAACAGGCGACAGAGAGTTCAGCCTCACCTGGCTGTACATGCACTTACTGTAGTCCTGGCTCAGGCCAGGAGAGCCATAGGAGCCGCTCTGAAGCCTGGCGGTGTTCGGGGAACGCGGCGAGTCCGAGCCGTGCTGGAGGGGTTTAGGGGACAGCAGGTGGAGGTTATCCAGCAAGCTCTCCATGACCCTTTCTGAGCCGTGTTGGCCCAAGGATCCAGACACCTCGGAGAGGCTGGGAAGGCTGGAGGTTATCTTGGTCCCAGACGCGGCGGGGAACAGCATGTGTCCGTCAGACTCCACAAGATCCTCCTGCTCAGAGGGAAACGGAGAACGACGTCCACTCAGAGTGCTGGCGTCGGAGCTGGTGCGGGTTCTGAAAGAGCTCCAGGCTTCAAAGTCCTCGTTGTTGTGGGAGTTTGGGCTTCCCAGCCAATTGGAGTACTGGGAGCCTGGGCTGCTTCCTTCCCCCTCCACGCCTTCCTGTAAAGACATCTGAGGACAGAAAAACGCATGAAAACCTCCCACCGGCCGTCTTAATAACCGAGCTATGCTGTTTGTCAAAAACCTCATACCTTTTTCTTTGTGGCTCTTCCTTTACTCTTGACAAATTTGTTGTTGTTGTCCATGGAGACGGCTCTGCGTCGAGGCGACTTTCCGTTCTTTCCTCCTTCAGGATTCAGCATCCACCAGGAGCTTTTCCCCGTCCCTTCATTCTGGATGCGCACGAAGCGGCTGTGCAGCGACAGATTGTGTCGGATGGAGTTCTGGATAGAAAAAATATGAAGATCATGGAAATTATTGACTGATGTAAAGAAATTGATATTCAGTTTTTGGTCAAAGAGTGAGAAACTGCCTGTCTAAATGACGTCTTTATTTTCTTTGGAGGATGATAAAGCATTTTTGAAGTGCCTACTGCTGCAACGTGAAACACATAAAATTTGTCATGAAAAGGAGAAGTTGGTGGAAGACATGATGATCGAAGCAAAAAAGAACAAAAATCAACATAACACTGAATGACAACAGACTGCTGATTCACAGCTAAAGAAAATAATTTCCTCCACATATTGCTGACATCTCATGTTTCATCGTGGGAATATGTTAGGCTTTATACGATTAATTTTCGCCACACATTTTAAGCTTCCAAGCTTGAAAATGCATCATCTGGCCAGAGCACCTTCATCAATATGTTTGCTCTGCCCCGAATTAGCTTGAGCCAAATTGCAAAAGACATTTTATGACTTCTTTTCGACAATGGCTTTCTTCCTATACTGCTCCAGACGCCTACTCATGACTTTCATCAGTTTTGTGACTTGGTTGCAGTGGATTACATTAAGGAGCAATCGGCTTAATACAAATGCACACCACACGTTTCTGATTTTTGACAATAAAACATTTTCTGTCTTTTCCCTCCCATTTCATGATTATGAGCTTCTTCCGATGGTTTAATCATATGTTTGTTTTACACGTCTTATCCCTCACTTCTATCTTCTGCTGTAAATTGGAAAAAGGAAGCTAATTTTAAGCTCAGAATACAAATCACATATCATATTTGTCAAACTTTGACAGGTAAGGCACGAATTCGGACTAGTCTGGAACAACTATGTCTCTTTCTTTGTATGTGGTCACGTTTGTCTTTGTCATTGCATGTGCACAACTGAAGCCAACATTCAAATCCTTTTCTCTAATGTTATGTTAGGAGCCCTGAAAATGACTCAGATGATCCTCCTGTGGCAAAACTCAGTAAGTGAGTTGAAAGAGAGAAAGACAAGCAGCACGGCCCTCTGTAGACAAAATAGGGTCCCGATATGAAATCTTGACGCACTGGACGGTGGGTGCAATGAAAGACTAACATACAACACAACATGTACCAGCAGGGAATTTCCCCTAAAATAACCATGTGAGCCTTTACGAAAGCCAGATGTCCTCAACCACAGCGTTCAGCAGGGATGCAAAAAGAATGGAGATAAAGTCGAAACTACAGGCAGATTATTTGAATCTTGGTCCTGCATGAGGTTTCTGTCAACTTAATGACCCACATCTGCTGATTTAAACAAAAAAAAACTTATGTGTTTGCAAAATATCAAACCTTTGTTTAAACATTGTTAAACTCAGACTAATCCCCGAAGAGCAGCGTTCAACGTCGACCTACACTTTCACCTACAGAGGATTAGGCACAATGGGGATTTCTACAGAGTGAGGAGAGGTTACAGAGTTCGTAGCGAAGATGGTGAGGGAGGGTGAAAAATACACAGAATGTTTTCAGCCTGCAGAAGTGGGGTCACTGAGTTCGTTGTGCTGAACATGAGCTCCTCGGCCCCGCGCTGACTGAGACGTGCAAACAGGTTGCATGGAAAAGCCGCAGAAAGGAGGAGAGAGGTCCGAAGTGTGGCGCGCTGACCTGTTTTGTGACTCACCGTGACAGCCCCGACGACCCCACCCCTTCTCTTCCACTGACTCCTTTTTTTAAAAAAAATAAGGCTTCCTGTGTCAGAGGACATCCTGCACATGGAGGCTGAACGCACACCAAAGGTGGAGCTCTCGCTTTCTGAACGGCCACAAAACACAGAGCTAATTCTGACGTTTGTTCGGTCTATTCGTGACCTTTTCTCCATTTTTTTTCCCCTTTTTAGATGAGCTCAATCTGCAACTGAAGACAGGAAATGAGTCATTATTGGAGAACCTGAGATCTCAGCAGCTTGCAGCACAGAGTCAGTCTGCACATTAACTTTTATTCCATCGACCAGGAGGCATGTCTTGCTGAACCAGGGCTGAGATCTGTGGCCCCGGTAGGTCTGCATGACTGCACACCTCAGAGGGGCTCCCTTGGCCATGGATAATCCTCGTCCTTGACAGACCTCACCTCAGCCCTTTGAGAACAAAAGACATCCTCACTGCTCCACTAATTCAGGAGCGTCGCACACAAATTATGAAACCTGACCTGAGGTGGCCTGCCTCATTGTTGCTACGCATCTCTTTAATCATGTGGGCCTCATTTTAATGGACTTTGAGATATGCACCGTTCCCAGAGCGGAATATTTACCTGAATGAACGTCAAGTTTGTCTCATTAGAGCTTTAAATTCCAACCTGATTTATTTAGATTTTATGTGACAGACCAACAGGAAGCAAAGGAAAAAGGCAACCCAGTTTGAATAACAAATTAAAATCTGAAAAGTGTGGTCTCTGTATGTGTTCCTGCCTCCTTTACTCTGTTTACCCTTAAATAAAAAACTGTGCAGCCAACTCCCTTTATGTTTTAAATCATGTCGTAGACACAACTAGAAGGAAGAAGTCACCATGGTGACCTGAGACCAAAATGTAACTTTTTGGCCAAATATAAAATGGGACTGTGCTAAAATATTAAAACTGCACATCAGCTTTAAAATCCTCATCACAACTATAAAACACGGTGGAGGCAGAATGATGCTATAGAGATGCTTTTCTTGAGTAGGGGCAGATGGTTTGAGTTGAAGGGAAGTTGGATGGAGACAACTGCTGGGCAATCTTGGGAAAAGACTCATTAGAGGCTTCAAAGGCCCAGTGGTTTGGATCCACGTACATTTATGTGTTAGAATGATCCAGTCAAAGTCCAGCCCTATTTCCAATTAAAAATCTGTGCAAATATGTAAGATTTCTATTCAGTTTCTCCTGAGGAACTGCCCAAAGTTAAGTTATCATTGTAATTCTCCAGTTGTGCAAACTACTCAAAGGAGTTTCAGTTTTAGCTTCAGCAAAAGGTAGAGATAGAAAGTGTTCTTTAGTTTGGGGATAACTACTAATTTATTCCATATTTTCATATTTTTATTTGCATATTGATCATTTCAAACTATTTTTTATTTTTACTTTCAATTTCAGTCCCAGAGCTCTTTCACCTCAAAGCCACCCAATTACCCCTGCATCATCTGCAATCAGATATTGTCGAGTGGAGCTGCGGCGGCTGCTCCTGCATGAAAGGACTCCTCACGCTGGACTTCAAAACAATTGAAGTGACACAGCTGCTGTTTCTTGTGTAGCGAAGCATGAGGCTTACAGTAACGGTCGCAGGATAAATACACAAACAGGGCCCAGTTGCAGCAACAGGTGCAACCACAGTGAAAGTGGCCTCACTTGCAATTAATTCAAAAATGCTGCAGAACACCAGAACCAAACCACAGACAGGACAGAGGAGCTCTCAGGGGATGGACTGCTGGAGAGCTGCAGCCTCACAAATTAGGAAGTTGGTTTTGTGTATATGATGGGGGCTTTTACTTAATTACTCATAACAACACAAAACAGCTGAAATTTTCTGTAGCTACATAGCTACAGAAGATAGCTAGCTAGCTATTTTCTACACAGAGCTATAGAACTAGCTATTTAGCTAGCTACAGAAAATAGTTAGTTGGCTATTTTCTACACAGAACTATAGAGCTAGCTATTTAGCTAGCTACAGAAAATAGTTAGCTGGCTATTTTCTTCAGCTGTTGTTATGAATCTATACATATATAGATATAGATATATATAGGCCTGACACGATAAGTAATTTTGTTGGACAATAAATTTCCCCACAAGTTATTGTGATAAATCATAACATTGTTGTGAGACAATTTATTATAATGTTATTATAATAATGAAAACATTTTCAAAGATCAATACACTTCACATTCTTATGAATCTTTAACACTGGAAAGCATTTAAGTGTCCAAAACAACAGAACCAGCAAATAAAATGAATTATGACAAACAAAGCTGAACTTCAAAAAAAGGGCACCAGACTGAAGATTTTTGCCATCTAGTTTTTGGTAGAAAAACTAGATGGCAAGAGAGAAAAGAAAAAAACTATAAATCACGTAAATGGGACTTATTGAGCTAGTTTTAATTTATCATGTGATTAGTTAATTTACTGCTCATTGCAACAGGCCTTGTCATATAGATATAGGTAGCTAACTAGCTGGCTATCGAGCTAAGACAAACGAAAATGAAGTTGTGCCACTTCCCTTTTACTTTAAGCTCAGGCAGCTGATTGACTATCAAGCCTTTTTTTTCTATTCTTTATTGTCTTATGTCAACAATGCGTGCATCATGTACTTTCCAGCTTTTGACCAAAAACTGTATATCAGCAGATCTAGAAAATGAGGAAATTGTGAACAATTGTTCATGTTTCAAATGCAAAGTGCCGGTGAATTAATGAAGTAGAGAAGTAGACTGTATTCAGAACTTTATGTGTTGATAGGGAAAGTTGGTAGGGACTAAGATGTTACGGATACAGCAACAATTGCCTGTAACTGTAAAATTGATGCTTGACTGTGTGGAGATCCTCATTTCTGGTGAAGGAATCAAGAAATTACCTAAAGAGGATTGTTTGAGAACACAATGTGGCCAAAAGATCTCAAAATGTCACACAGTATGCTCCACTCAAAAGAAACTCACAGAGACCAATGTCATTGACATGCATGTGTCTGGAAAGGGTTAGAAAGCCATTTATTTTCTGAAGCTAATGTAAACTGCAGTGAGTCCCACAAATATAGACAATATGGAGCAGCGAGGAACATTCCCAGGAGGTCTACCAGCATGACTGCAAGAACTGCAGGTCTAACTTGCCTCAGTTAAGATCAGCGTTCTTGATCCAGCAGTAACAAAGAGATTGAAAAGAAAAAACATCCATGACGGACGTAAAGGCTATTTGTCAAAACCATCGTATTGAATCCTAATACTTTTGCGACAACATCTGGCGCTGCTTTGCGTACCTGGACGACTCGCTGTAGCTGATGGAACGATGAATACGGCTCTC